ATGCATGCTGGTTATTTCCCAGCTAAAGTCATAATCTTGTTTGCAACATCATAATCATTTACCCAGCAAACAATCAGGATGTCACTAACAAAGAATTATGACTTTAGGTGGGGGATAAAATACAGGCAGAGATGAACTCTGAGGAAATAAAGATTGCTCTTATGAAAATGTGGCTAGCAATAAATAACCAGAGATGAAAATTATGCTGAAACAGAATATCCCATAAAAACAGATTTGGAGAGGTATAAATAGTATGTTTTTAAAATTTCTCCTCTCTGAAAAATACCATGCACAGAGTGTTTATAAAGCACAGGTAGAATTTTAACACTTAAAAACTCTGAATTTTTAAAACAGAAGAAATCTATAAACATAGTGAACAATGTTTCAGGAATATTTTTAATGAGATGAATTTAGATATTTAGCTTTAAACATAAGTGCCAGCTTTATACATCATTCAATCTAATCACCCTGCTCATTGAAAGCATTGTTTTCGATATTCAGTGATTTTTGTGAATCATTTATGTCAACTTGATTCTGAATTCAATAACTGACCCATCCATTAATTTGCCTCTTGATTCAACAACTCTACCCTAAATTCATAAAAAGTGATGATAAACATGGCAGAGCATGTTGCAGTGCCTAAAGTGTTTCACATTTTTCTGAGCTAAGTAATGTCAGTATCTTTTTCTCTAATGCATGAGGAAGAAACACTTTTAAATAAGTGATCTGCCAGTTAGTAAACAGTGTTAGCTGATCACCTCTGTTTCTTCCTCTACATACATCATGTTGCCTTCCCCTGGGAAAAGTTAGGGACTGAGATGACTTATCAGTTAGATCCTGATCATTCATTCATTCATTTATCATTGATCACCACCCAGTCTAAATTAGGATTATGCTAAGAGGTTAAGTGTATAATAGTGAACAAAAGAGACATAGCAATGAAATGTGTAGTCTAATGGGAGACATACATTCAATAAATAGACAAATTAATAATTATAGGTACCATGAAGGGAAAATTAGGATGCCATTTAAAAATAACAGAAAAGTACAAAAGAATTTAGATAGAAAGTAGAGAAAGTCTCTATATTTTGAAAGTTTAGAGAAATATATAGCACGTGGCCAAAAACAAGATGAGATAAACATAGCTCAAGATCTTTCCAACAATTGAATCATAGGGACAAAGAGAAGTGTGTTTGTTTTCTTGTTATTGTTTTTTTATGAATCAAGATGTTAGTCAAAGTATCAGAATCATTTTGTAACATTCATTTGTTCAAAAACACTTTTCTGTCTGCCACACAGATAAGGCACAGCATTAAGTGGTATTAAGGGTAGTGTACCCTTGGCCTGTGTTAGGTGACACACCAGATGTGAAGGACTAGATGTGAAGGACTTCAACAAATATCGAACAGATTAAAATTATATATATATATATATATATATATATATATATATATATATATATATCCCTAATATGCAAATAGACTAAACGGCAGGACAACCAAACACCACCAGGAGGTGTGCACTGAACATGGCGTGCGTCGGCCACAGCGGGATGGTGGAGCAGGTGAGTGGGGGCGCCAGACCAAAGTGGGGTGTCAGTCTCTGTCATTGGGGCGAGCCTCTGGTGGTTACTGAAAATTATTTGCTCCTATGCATGGCGGTCCAGCCTGGTGCTCGCACCTGCTGCTGGCGCCCACATCTGCTGCCAGCGTCAGCCCCACTTGCACTTTTTGCCGCACTGGAGCCGCTGCTCGCACCTGCTGCCAGCGCCCGGTGCTGTCAGTGGGTGGGAGTGGTGGCTGCCGTCCCCACTCGCACCTGCTGCTGGCACCAGCCCCAATTGCTCCGCGCCATCAGTGGGTGGGAGCAGGGCTAGCATGTGGGAGTGGTGGCAGTGGGAGCGGGGCTGCCTGTAGACACGGGACCAGGGGCCATGGCAGGAGGGGCCAAGGAGGGGCACGGAGGGTGGGCCGAGACCTGCCCCTGTGCCCACCACAGCCTCGCGACCCACAGTTCCTTTCAAGGTGCACAAATTTGTGCACAGGGCCCCTAGTCAAATATAATTTAATGTCAATTTGTTTCCACCATGTGTATGTCCAGAACTGTAAAATTACAAAATTTAATAAGCCTATTATACCACCAGGCAAATCTGAACATAAACTACTAAATGCCAACATGCATGTAATATCATGTGGTTGTTTGTCTAATAGTTGTGACAGGCACACCCTACTAACTCTAGTAGCAGGAACATGGCTATGATGTACCTGGAATGTCTGTAACTCAATCCCACAGTCAGAACTGGATGCATGCCTTATAAGCAATTTTAAACTTGAGCTTCAAAATGAGAGAACACATCACAGCCGCTTCAGGCACAGGCTCTAATCTTATTTAGTTTTTATTTCCTCATTAGGCTAATGGCAAAGGAATTAAGGAACTTTTCTAAATGTGTGGTTATGGGAAGCAAATAAAGACAGAAGGGAGTCTGATCTGCTCTGCACAGAGGACCCTCATGTTTCACTTCAATGCCATATTGCAAAATAAATGACAAAGGCAATGGTCCACTCTTCATCTCAAATTCTGGCCAGAAATGCACTGATGACAACTAATTATCAGCTTAATTTCTTATTTTAAAATTCTTATGTTGTAAAAGGCAATGTCATCTTATAAAACGTCTTTCTGAGCTAGTTTATAAATGACTCAAGCTATGAGTGAAAACACAGAAAGAATACTGGTGGTCCTCTTCCCTAATGAGAATAGGAAAACATCTTCCACTTTGTCTGAGAAAAACATGAGTTTTATAAATTGCATCCAGAGGAACAATTTTCTTCATCAGAACTATAAGGATGATGTTGTCTCAGAGCACAGGAGTGTAGGGAGAGTCAAGAAACGTTAAACCTGAGCAAGCATGCTAAAAAGAAAAATAATGTATTTGAACAAACAATCCCCATTTTAGCTACAGATAATTCAGAAAGCTAGCAGCCTCAGGACAAGATGCCAGGAGGTTTCTGAGACAAATGATGAAGATTCAAGGGTGACTCACTGTTGTCTCTACAGGATTATGACAGAGGAAGTGCCCAGAAGACAGTAAAAATACTGGAGAGTCACACGCTTATTTTTAAGATATTTCTTTTGTGAAATTTTTTATTCTGATAGTATAATTAACTTTGCTGAGTTCTTATTGTTCATTTATGTTAATCACTTTTAATAAAGGGCATTTTTAGATTTAAAGACACACCAATGGCTATAGGTTTCTTCATCATTTTCTATCCTTTCAGTAAATGATGTGTGTGAATGTCAGTACAATTTATCGATGCCGTGGAAAGAGGATCAAAGATGAATTTACACTCAACAGCCATCTGTCTTGTGTAAGGGTTTACTATCCAGAATCACAAAGAAGACAAAATGATGGCACAACCAACCTGCAGGGATATTTTTCTGATAAATCCACAAACTCCTTAAAGGGAAGCCATCCTAAAAAGTCCGAAAAGTCTCTCTCCACGTATTCTTCTGCTCTTGAGAACCTGAATTCTGTTCCTATAAAACGTTGAACACCCACCAACCCAAGTAACTGCTATTTTCATTGGCTATCATAGCAGTCATTTAAAGTGATTGTAGTAATTAGGGTTCTCCAGAGAAAAAGAATCAATTGTGGAGTCTGGCAAATCCAAAATCTACGTGGCAGCCTGGCAGTCTGGAGACTCAAGAAGAGGTGATGCTGCAACCTGCGTCTGGAGGAAGTCTGAAGGCAAAATTCCCTCTTCCTTGAAGGATCTGAGTCTTTCTTCTCTTAAGGCTTTTAAACTGATTGCATGAGACTGGACAGTAATCTGTTTTATTCAAAAATCTACTGTTTTAATTGGTAATCTCATCTAAAAATACCTTTGCAGAAACAGCTAGAATAATGTTTGACCAAATATCTGGGTACCATTGCCTAGCCAAGATGACACATAAAATTAACCATCACACTGGCCCTCCTAAAATAAGATGCTTTGGGGACCTTTTGTGTGTGTGTGTTTTACTAGAACAGAGAACAAAGTATTATTTCCTCCTTATTTGGGGTCCCTTTTTTGTTTTGTTTTTTTCTAGCAGCAACTTTTGAAGCTATCATAACTTCTATAAATGCCAAAACACTAACAGAAAAAAACAAAAAATACCTATAATTATCAAAGTAAAAAAAGGATTCCAGACACACTTAATGATACTGCCAAGTATTACTTGGCCCTCAAATGTGTACTCTTACTGATGACATAACTACTTAAAATATAATTTGACAATTAAGTATTACTTTAAATGTAATTATGTTGTAGTCTATGGTAAGTTCTATAAACACAGATTTAGCTGTTATCTATAATAATAAAAGCATAATATGCTAATTAGCCCAGGCATCCTTCTAGATGACCTTCTGGATGAAGCCTGGGCTTTGAGGGAAGCCCGGGTCCCAGGTGCCAAAGGGAAGCTGGTGCCAGTAGCCGGGGGTTAAGGAAGGCCTGCTCTTGCATGAATTTCATGCATGGGGCCACTAGTTTATTATACTATGTATTTTATTGATTTCAGAAAGAAAGGGAAAGGGAGAGATAGAAACATCAATGATGAGAGAGAATCATTGATCAGTTGCCTCTTGCATGCCCCTCACTGGGGATCAAGCCCAAAACCCAGGCATGTGCCCTGACCGGGAATCGACCACAACCTCCTGGTTCATAGGTCACGCTCAACCAGAGTCACACCTGCAGGCAACTGTTACTTTTCTAAACTCACCAAATTTTACTAATAGGATCTGCAATATAGATTATTGTTTGACACACAATATATTATTTGGAAGAAAAAGTCCTTAAACTTTTAATTTTATTAACTTTTATTAGTCTGAAAATCTTGAAATACCAGAAACATTAATGAAAATCTCCAGCACTAGAGAAGTAATTGCTTGGTTACTTTTATTAGTTGTTAACTTTTTTTCCAATTACTTTGGGTACAAAAAGTAAAAAGTGATGAAAAAATGACCTTTAGGTGCTCTTCGGCCATGGTAGTATGATGACATGTTGCTTGTCAAGGAAGTCCTTTTCCTCCTCGTCCTTGCTGCTTTCAGAAAGTGTCAGGAAAGACTGAATCTCAGTATCTTTTTCAGAAAAGCTGGAAATACATTAAAAGATCAATACACAATATACAGAACTAGGTTTGAACTCTTCATTTATCTTCTGATCAATATTACATACGTAGAAGTCACTGGAGGCAGGCAGATGGGAGGGGGCCGCCTCAGACAGGGGCCATAATTTTCAACATGCCCAATATACCAAGCCTCCTTTTAATGAGAAATTCTCGTCATTTTCCCTCTCCCAAGAAATAAAGCCACAGTGGTACCAAGGAGAGAAGGTTTTACAGTCTCTGACTGTGTCTTTCACCGATGATTCAGAGGGCACTTTGGAAACTTGCTGAGCCTCGGGGTCAACATTAAGGACATTCATCATTACATTGGCTGTTTAATAGGATCCCAATGAATGTAGACTGCCAGATAAATCAACTCTTTTGTGTACAGTAAATTAGGACTATGTGGATAGCCAGTCAAGATATGCCAAAACCAGAATGAATGACAATAATTATTGAGTTATTTTATTTTTTGTGTTTTATTGTGGAGAGGAAGCTCTGTTGGAGGCTCCAGCGTGTAAGATTCCAGAGTGGGAGAAGAGGTAGAGTGGGGAACAGTGGGGGGCCTGCACCACTCAGATGTTTTGGTTTAAATGATCTCAATTGTCAGTCCATGTATGGCACTAAATATAAAATACTTGCCTAACATTCCATGATGGATATAACTGTTCTTTGGATTTTTTTTTATGTCCAACACTGGCTAAATAGCAGAGCCTACACTCTCGTCTGTGAACCAGTGCAGATCTAACTGTGAATAAAAATGTTCACTGGTAATGACATTTTCATGACATTCTTAGTTTTAAAGCACAGTGTTTTATTCTGTTAATGTGTTCCCCTTACGTGTTTGTACTAATTGTTCTTTATTTTATGAAACGGTGGTGACAGTAAGTGGTAGGTTTCTTTTATCTTTAATTACTTTGGTGGGGGGTTGGGGGAATGGCAACTCTAGATTTACCCCTTTTAAAAATAAACTTTTAGTGTTAGAAATGCAAAAAGCCAAGAACCACAGCTAAATTATCCCCTCCTTCAAAAAACAAACAAACAAACAAACAAACAAAAACTCTTGCTTTCCTTTTACTGCAATATCAGACTTCAAACCAATCAAAGAAATTTACAATAAAGGGGCTTTTATTTACATTTATCACAAACCTATGTGAAACCCTCCTCTTTTTACAAGGAGTTCCAGTATGTCAATAGTAGAGTGACATGGTAAACTACATTTCTTAAGCATTTATTAGTATATTAGTATGTTCCCTATAAACTGGTCACCATTCCTAAAAGCTCTTACCTTATGTGAGGAACGAGTAAAATGGTAACAAACTGAATTATGCTATCATCAACAGCATGGACTTGATTTCAAGAAAGAAACCTCTCAATATTGTATTCTGAAAACTTTATTCACATTGAGTAAGATTCTACTAATGCAAAGTATTAAAATTTATTTAAAATTAAAAGTATTAGGTTAACTAATGAAAGTAAGGCAACTGCTTTTCAATTTAAAAAGTAATGCCGGGTGGTTATTGAATTCCATTTTTTACAGTTTTCTGACATGTTTTATAGCAGAGAATTATATACTTATGTATTATAAGTAATTGTTATACTTCATAATAAAGCAACACCTCCATAAGCCTTTTACTAAATCCCTACAATAGGTCAGCAAAGGACACAAACATTTTACACGAATAGCCATATAAAGTACACACATGGGGACAATCTTTCTTCACATAGCAAAGAGAATTAGTTGGGGCTTGTCCAAATTTGTTACTATGCATTATGTTTACATATAACCTACCTCAGTTCCTTAATTCCACAAGGGTCCCTGGAATGTGAGGTCTTAAAGAAATCTAGGGTAGCCTGACTTATGTTCAGCGAATCATTGTTGAAGGCTGGTGACTCTTCTGAGGTTAGGCTGTAACTTTTTTCCGAAGGATCTGAAATATTTCATTTCATGAATTGTCAACACATAAATTCAAGAAACAAATGCACAGCATATGGCTCTGACATTGTATCCAGAGTAAACTATAAGTAGTATAAAGAGGATCATAGATGTTGTATCATCTCTAAAGTTTCTAATGTTTGTAGGATGGTCACAGAATGAGGTAAATTTGTTTTGAGATTCCAGATTAGGGCATCGGTATCAAGTCACTTTAACCATATTGGTTTTTTGTTTAGCAAATCCCCTGATCTTACTTTTTAGCTTAATTGGGATATATTTGACATGAAACATTTTTTTAAGTTTAAAGTGTACAATGTGTTGATTTGAAACATATATTGTGGAATGATAACCACCATAGTGTCAGCTAAAACCTCAATCACATCACATAAGTGCCATTTCTTTTTTGTGGTGAGAACATTTAAAATCTACTCTCTTAGTAACTTTCAAATATGTAATACAGTAATATTAATTACAATCCCCACCTGTATGTCAGATACTCAGAACTCCTCATCTTGTACTTTTTGATCAACATCTCCCAGTTTTTCCCACCCCGAAGCCCCTGGCAACCACCATTCTAGTCTGTTTCTATGAGTTTGGCTGTTTTAGACCCCCATGTAAGTGATATTACATAGCATTTGTCTTTCTCTGTCTGACTTATTTCCAACAGCGATATTAATTTTACAATATACATTATACCTAAGAAAAGTGTCCAATGCCCTGAGAACTCATAAAATTACAAAGAAAACCAAGTGATCCTCTTAAAGCTAGAATATTGTCAACTCCTCAACTTATCTGAATGTTAAACACTTTATTATCCCTTTTTGTCTTCTAAGAAATAAAAGCTTTACCTCCATAGAGTGGGAGGCAAATGTTAGTCTTGGCAAAGTTGCCCTTTTGTGTTTGTTTTTGCTTCCTGGCTTTGTTTGGGTAGAAAATAACCATTTGTATGTGGAAGGGGAGAAGTCTTAAATCTTCTCCTTTTCTGTAAAGCTAGCCTATGGTTCAGCCTAGGTAAGAAAAAATAGTGCAAGTTATGTGAGCAAAAATATAAGCAAACATATTTATACTAATAAAAGGATAATATGCTAATTAGACCAGATAGACTGGATGTCTTCCGGATGTCCTTCCAGACAAAGCCATGGTGGCGGGGACCAAGGCAGAGGCAGTTAGGGGTGATCAAGCCAGCAGGCAGAGGGGTAAGGGGTGATCAGGCAGGCAGGCAGAGGTGGTTAGGGGCAATCAGGCAGGCAGGCAGTTGAGCCATTAGGAGCCAGCAGTCCTGGATTGTGAGAGGGATATCTGAGAGGGGTCTCAGATTGGAGAGGGTGCAGACCAGGCTGAGGGACCCTCCCCGCCCGCCCCCCGCCAATGCATGAATTTCATGCACTGGGACTCTAGTCTTTATATAAACTACCAAGAAGTAAAGTATAAAAAGAAATGATTACTATGTTATAAAGGCCATAATGCCTTCTCTCTGTCATTGATACAATTCTAAGAGTCATCTAACTTGTACATAAGGTTATGCTGACTTTTAAAATTGTTAAAATTCCTGGGTGCTCCTCTTCCCTTCATTCTGATGACAGTGCCAAGTAAACACCCTCCTGATCAGAATGACCAGACACCAAACTGAAAGGAGTTTTAGGGATAAAATAGGCCGGTTTAGGGAGATTTAGAAATAAAGAGGGTCTATGGGGAGGAAGGCATAGGTGAGGGCTTGGAGCTGCCAAAAGGCAAACATTCACAGAGAGAGAAAAAAAGGTGCCACAGGATAAGGGGAGAGGAAGACATCCTTTCACAGAAGATAAGGAAAAGCCACAGGGTATGGGGAGAAAAAGAAACAAACTTTCACAGAGGATAGAGAAATTCCAACAAATTGGAAAAAGAGGAAAACAGATTTTCACAGGAGATAGAGAATTCTACCACTGAAGCGGGAGAGAAAGGAAGGGGGGTACCATGTGGGGTTTGGGCTTTGAAGCTGATATTCTGCAAAAGAGTGACCAATGAGAAGAGAGTATCAAGAGACAAAGAACTGCAGCCTTTATAAACCTTAGAAAAAAGGAGCTTAGTGGGTCACCCCCTTGGAACCTCCTCCCTAGTGGGAGTCTGTACTTGCTTCCAATAAAATTCCACCCTTTTCATCTACCACCTTTTGTCCATGGCTTCATTCTTTGAATCCATCTGGACAAGGACCTGGGAGAGAAATCACCCTTGCATCCTGCTCCGGAAAAACAACCGGAATCAAAACCACAATGTATCATATACTTGACTGAAGAGATTTTTTTTGGTTTTTTTGGTCATTAGTATTAATTTGAAGTTACTTAGATTATTTCTTCTAAGGTAAGATAGACCTCCAGGCATGTATAACTGGAAGTGCCCTAAAAATTATTTAGCCCACTGACTTTCATATTCTGATACATGGAGAAATTCAGTAGGCTTAAGGATGAAGCTACTGCTAAAGCAATCAGGAGGGCTTTTCTTGGTCTTATTTACATTTGAATAATTTGAATTAATTAAGATTAATTTGGAGGAAAAACAAAAGATTTCTCAGCTAAAATTTTTGTCTCATCCCCACTTGCTGGTAATTAGGAAATTAAGGGCCCATGGAGAATTGGCAACTTGTTGAAATTCTCACAGACACATAGTCGAAGAACTAGAACTAGACCTGAGCTCCTTTAGCTCACCTATGTCATAAAATACAGTGGGGCCTTGACTTACAAGTTTAATTCGTTCAGAGACCGAGCTCATTAAGGAGCTCGTTAAGGAGCTTGTTAACTCAAATTACTCTATCAACTCAATGCAAAAAATCAGCTGAGAGACAGCTGGTATCTCAAAAAACTCGTTAGTCGGGACACTCGTAAGTCAAGGCCCCACTGTACTTTATGTCCCAGAATCTAATTCTCTAGCTTTATGCCACTATCTACTCTCCCAATTTTCCACTAAGTAAAAGAATATGGGTATGCCACGCCCCTTTACATGACCCAATGATAGGCAATATTACTTGTGGGAAAATAGTCAATTCAGGATTTGAATTGGTAGGGTTAGGGTACTAAAACTCAATAATGATGCTTAGAACTGAAGAATACCACCAGGAAGGTATTCAATCTCTGTTATGTATTTGAGTTTTAATTAAATGAACACAGAACTAATTTAAATTGTGCAAATAAAATGGGCCTGGTTTTTTGTATAATTATTAATTCTCAGAATTCTATTTCAGAACATCTTGTCAAGGTAACAGGTGCAAAGGTGACATCACTTGACTTTTCAAGACAGAAAAAATATAAAACTGCTTATAAAGTCCTGTTGCAGGTTAGTTTGTGCTAAACCTAAAAGGTCAATTGTACAAAAACCCAAGTCTCCTGACCTTTTAATAGAGAGCGAGGAAAACTGCATTGATATTTATATTGAAAATTTTACTTTATAACTGTCAGGTCAGCTGATAGTTGAAAAATGGATGTTTTATCCCTAGAGTAAGGGAATATTCTCTGATCATTGAAATATCTCTGAAATACAATAATACGGAGAAGGGAGCATGGACTGCTAGGGTGGAGGTGGAAGAGGTATAGGGGAGATAAATGGTGATGGAAAAAGAATAAATTTAATTTTAAAAAAGAATTAGACAAAAATATTGGTTAAATGTAAACTTCTAGGGTGCATTTCTAAAACTCATGTAATTTAAAACATATTCATATAACTTTATTCCACACAAAAATAATCAAATATGAGTAAAGAAATAAAGGAAAGAATAAAGGAAGGACCACAGAAACATTAAAAGTTTAAAAACATTAAAAAGTTAAAAACTTCAAAGAATGGAAAAATAGCAGATGGTTATTTACATAAAGAACCAAAAACAACAAGCATTTCTAAAGGACTGTGCAGCATAGCTACGAATGACCAGTGTTTAGGAGGATGTGACAACCAGGACATGCGCTCTGCGTCCTGTGAGCCCCTCCCCAGCTCTTCAGCCTCCTGCTCTCCTGTCCCTCCGTTTCCCTTCTGCTCTGCCACTGGATCTCGCCTGTTTATCCCCCTAAACCTTCTTCCCTTTACCTTCATTCTGCCCACACCCTCTCCCACTCTAGTGGTCACAATATTGATTTGAAGTAAGGATTTCAAATCATTTGAGTGGCATTCTGATATGGTGGTAAGACAAAGGCATATAGGACAGACCTACCTGGGTTTGTGCCTGGGCGCTTATGTACAAAGGGGAGACCATGGCAGTTACCATGCCCAGAGCCAGTACCCACAAAGGGGAAATAAAAAATAGCACCTGTCCAATCCCAAAGTAGCTATGAAGAGCAAATGAAGCAATCTATACTAATAAAAGTGTAATATGCTAATTAGACTAGACGTCTTCCAGATGTCCTTCCTGGCAAAGCCGGGCCCGGGCGAAGCTGCCCTCCCACAGTCCTGGGTGCCAGCGCCTGCAGCTGTGGCCTGGGAGAAGAGAAGCCGAAGCAGGCCGCCTGCCCAATATCCTGGGCACCAGCACCTGTGGCTGCGGCCCGGGCGAAGCCGCCCTCCCCTGGTCCTGGGCGCCTGCGGGTGGCCAGAGGGAGGGAAGCCCAGGTGACTGTGGCCAGCCAGGGGAGGGAAGCCTGGGTTCTGGGTGGGGGGCCGAGGCAGAGGTGGTTAGGAGTGATCAGGCCAGCAGGGGAGCAGTTAGGAGTGATCAGGCAGGCAGGCAGAGGTGGTTAGGGGCGATCAGGCAGGCAGGCAGGCAGGCAGGCTAGCAGTTAGGAGCTAGCAGTCCCGGATTGCGAGAGCCATGTCCGACTGCCGGTTTAGGCCCCTGTGGGATCGGGCCTAAACCGGCAGTTGGACATTCCCCAAGGGGTCCCAGATTGGAGAAGGTGCAGGACAGGCTGAGGGACCCCACCCTCCCCAGTGCATGAATTTCGTGCACCGGGCCTCTAGTATTATATAGAAAAACAAATAATGAATATTATTACTCATTGAATGGGTTCATATTCCTTATATCAGAAAATGTTTAATATG